ATTTTTAACCGGTATTTTACCTTGCTGAATAACCCCATTATGTCGTATTTTTTGAGATTTTCATTTAACTCACGAATGGTTGGGGATGCTTTTGAGTAAACGAGTATGCCAGACTCAACAGTTTATCTACATTAATATACGAGTTCCTGGATATGTGCCTGGCAAATGCTTCAACTTGTGAAACTTTCCGAGAGCGCGCTTTCAGTATTCCGACGGCGCTGGAGACTCCTAACATTCTCAAAACTCCTGCTGAAGCTTCTGGCAAATGGGCAGAGCATGCATAGAACGGGGAGTGCTTGTAGATGTGGTTAGCCAGTGTAAAATCCATTTTTCGACGATAGATAGCTGAGAGAACCACAAACAGTTTGTCATTTTCATCAGTAATAATCACGATTTCTGACACCGGCTTCATCAATCTACAGATGAGGCAAATGCGATGGCTGCTGAAAACAAAACTATGTTCTACATGGTTAATATCGTTTGCATACATTTGAATGCATGGAGCTGGCGAACTAGCTAAACTCATCGGCTGTTTGTTTGGTGGAAAACATGGAGGGCCCGCTGCCGGAACGGGCCCGTGTACTGTGATAATTCTTCGAGAAACCAAAACGAGTCGTTTTTTGATAGCTGGTGGGTTCGGAGTGCTGCTTCTGAAAATAAATAAGAATTTAAAAAATTTGGTGTTTTTCTCTTACTGTTCGACATCCTGCCCACAATTCTCATGTTGAGCACAAGATAAGCCGGGCAAGTTTTTGTCAATGAAATCGGCTTGTGACATTTCTGAAACATTTTTAGTAATTAGGGAAAACTCGCATAACTAAATGTAAAAAGAAGCTTCGAAAGGTGTTAAAAATCAAATTCAACACAAATTTTTTGTCGATGAATTTTTTGACTACAGTAACGGCTAAAGGGAACCGGAAACGTTTTACTATATCGCTGCGAGACCAAGTGATTTGTTGAAAGTTCTTACGGTAGATTTTCAATATTTATCGCAGCGAAAACATTTTCAGCTCAACTTTTCTGAACATTCGCATGATTTTCGAAGCTGAAAAATGTAAAACTTTGCTATTGTGTTGCCTTTTTTGCACTGTGATCTTCCGATCATTCAAAGAAAACATTTATTTCAAAATTAAATCAAAGCATATCATTTTTTGACGCCAGCGTCGTTCAATGTCACAAAGTTCAGAATAAGAAAATAGATTACATCGTTAATAATAGTAAAGGCGCTCGTTCGACAAGTTTTAAAGCAGGAAAATGCAGTTGAGAGGTTGGGACACTGTGTGGGAAAAGATGATTAGAAAGCATTTGAAGACTAGAAGTCAGATATACATATAAAATTAGAACATTTGTATAAAAAATTGAAAGATACTAATTATAAAATATACATAAGCATGCAAAATTTAGGTTAGAAGTTTCGTTTGCGGTCGTCAGGGTAAATGTGGTTTGCGTTTCTGAAATTAGTAGCGATTGTTTACTTCTTATAGTTGTTAAGCTACAAAAATATATTTGGAATTAAACTCACCCCTAATAAAGCCTCGGTGTTCGCTGCGAGACCAGCTCCAGGAATTACATGGGCTTCTTTTCTTGGTCGGATATCGTAAGTTCTTCCATTTGCACATAATTCGACCCTCACACCTGTAGATGGGTACGGTCTCGGTCTAGACACTTGAATCTTCTTCAGAGACGATGTCGACTTTGAGGATCCAGGCATTGACAAAATCCATTTTGGAGGCTTCGTTTCAGCGGTTAAAGTACATTTGGATATCTGCAAAATTTGTATGGAACAGGAAAAAACTTATAAAGCTTTCATTAAAAGATGTTTATTTTCATTTTGATGGATTAGCCATTAAAACATTTGATGTATATCAGGTGTGCAGATAAAAGTTGAAACGAACAGGAATATATGTAATAGGAGCAACATGAACACACAACAAACTGCAAAAAAAAAGAGGAGAACACCAAAGAAAACCGAAGGTTTAGTAGTTTGAGATGTTGAAAAAAAAAGAAATGTCAGTGATTGTTGTGGTATATACAGAGAATAATTAGGAACTTTTTTTTTCGAAATTCACCCGAAAGAATGTAGAACTTCGGAATTCTGTACCGTAATCTAGATGAATTTGATGATGATGCGAGTAAAATATATATGTAAAGGTTGAAAAGGAGCAGAATACGGTACGATATGCATAATCCTCAACAAAATCACTTCCGCACACTGCTCCGGGTCATGTACATTGCAGGAAGTGCTGATGTGGATGCGGTGTTACGTGTCACTGGCTTCTTATCTCCAAGAGATCGACTGGCTGGATTGTACATCTGCACTGATGAGAAGTTGTGTTGAGCGAGTGGCACACGAGCCGGTGGTGGTCGTTGGGCCATCACAAGGTGCGGTGAATCCATTGGCACTCGAACAAGTCCAAACTGCAACGAGATACAACACTGCCACATCACTATATTTAGAAAAAAAAGGGGAAGAGAAAATGGTGATGGTTCTTATAAGAAGGAGCATGCAAAAAAGGGAGAGTTTATTAAATAGTTGCTTCATGCATAATGGAAACATCGAAAAATGCTTTTGTTTTCACCTTTTCCAATACTATCTAACCCTTTATTCAGCAATCCCAAAAAAACTCACTTGTGGCTGAAGATTGAATGGAGTGGACGTAGTGGCTCCCAATGGTTTTTCTGATCGAAGACAAGTCTTGTAGCTGTTGGCACTTCCTGTGTAAGCTGGGGACATCGGCTTTATCGGAGTCGTTGGAGACAGATATCTAGTAGCCTCACTCCGACGAGAAGCCATTGATGGAAACACTGCGGATGCTGGCTGAAAAATATGGAATTGAAAAAGTTAACATACACATTTGGATTGTTGGGGATTAGAAAAAAGCAACTTCTGAAACACTGAACCTATATTAACTGAACAAATTTGAAAGAAAAACAGAGTGAGACACACAACATGAGGATACCTCGTATAATAACGAGTTGTGGAATCGGTAGCTCTCGTTGCCCTGAAATATATTCATCTGCTAACACTATTATAGACACTACAAAAATTTAAAAATAATTTTATCACATACCGTTCTAGAAAGAGTTCCGGTTCCATTGCTGCCAGATGGAGTTCTAGTTCGATAGGCAACATTTCCATTTGAAGTTGTCTTCAGCTGACGGCTACTGGTTCCAGATGAAGATGGACCAGCCGTCTTCGTTGGAGTGACCAGAAGAGGCTCACGATTCCGGTTAAGATACGCTTGACTTGGAACAGCCATTTGTGGAGCGGAGTTTTTGACGAAACGACGGCTTGGAGTATTGGATGAGGTTTGTTCTGCTTCATGTTGATGTTTTGCTTTGAGTTGAAGTAGGCGATCTCCCTGAGATCTTCCTTGTTCGTCCAATGCAGTTTCATCGACAACTCGTCTCGTCGATCGGCTAGTTCCTGGTGTTGACGAAGAAGCAGAAACCGGCGGAATCTCTACTCCATTTTGAGCTTGAACTTTTCTTCTGAGTATGTTGGGACGAGTAGTAGTTTCTCGACTCTTTGATCGTTTTCCTTCTCCTAAATTTATATCATCCACTTGATTGGCAAGACGTCGGACACATTTCTTTTCTTCTTTTGTCGGTATAAGATGAATTCCATTCGACTTTGACAATCCCCAGCAGAATTTTTGTTTCTCGACCAGATAGGGCTGCTGTGGTCCTATCACTGATCCTGGGCGGCACACACGCAACCAGCCCATGCACTCTCCTGCCGTCAAACCAAATTCTTTCATCATCCAACAAGCGATCAAAGTTCCCGTTCTTCCTAGGCCAGCCTTGCAGTGTACGGCAACTCCTCCTTGTGCACTATCGACCACTTTGATAAACTTCAACATGATTTCATCAGATGGCGTGCTTCCATCAACGAAGAATAAGTCAACATGGTCGAAGCCAGCTTTTGTGAACTTCGCAGCATCATAGTTTTTCGCGTTCAATCGAACAATCGTCGACACTTTTTTCTCGCGGAAGTAATCGAAATAGACATCTGGAGCGTGATATGGATACCCGTTTTCCTCTCGGCTTTCGTTGTGAGGACCACAAAAACTGAGAATCTTTCCCGGAACAATCCAATTGAAATCTCCGTTCTCAACACGTTCATAAAACTCGTATTCTTCATAGTCAAAGTCTGAGAAATCGAGCCATCCGAATCTCAGAGCTTTTTCAATTCCACGAAGAACATCATGAACATGGAGAAGATATTGGGGAGCGCCCATAGACGCATCACGGAATCCAATCAGTTTTGGACCATCTCCAGATGACACTTTCAAATAAGCATCGTCGGCTGAGAACCCTTGATAGATTATCTAAAAAGAGTATAAATATGTCCCATCTAAACTTTTCTATTTCTCACCAGAAAAGCTCCAAGAACATAGGCAGTGTTGACTCTCAATTTCTCATAGTCTCCCGTTCCATCCTCTTGACAGAAAAGAACCACTCTTCTGCCGCGTTTCTCTTCAACCTGCATCACACATCTTTTATCTCATCTGTAGATATACCGCTTACCTCCAGAAGTTTATCGATTTGAACGCATAACCTATAGAGAACCGACAGATTCCATGGTCCAAAATCCTCATAAAATGGCTCATAGTGGAATTTATTATTTACACTTATGAAACATGTCTTTTTAATCGATTTGTCAGACTTATCGATGGCATTCGGATCAGGGAAGCAACCGAAGTAGAGTTGGTTTGGGATCAGCTGAAGATAGAGTTATTCCAGAATATTCTTTGTGTCACTTACTTCTGTAATGGTGTTCTCGTTGGAGCTTCTGTTAGGCTGATGGCGTGGGGAGTGCTCGTCTCTCATTATTATATTTCTTATTATCCACCTCTCCTAGCAGTACATGGCCTGGAAAGGAAAAAAAATGTGTTCGTATTGTTCACAGACTATTGTCTTTCGCGGTGAATAAATATACGGGAGCGAGCTCAGCTGCTAAACAAGAGCCAATAGATTGAAAATCAAACAGAGGGACATATGGTACTGTCCGAAAAAAGACCTAGGAAGTTCTGAGAAGTATTGATTATGTGATAAAGTGTCAAGTAAAGATGTAAAAATGTGACATGCGATTGGGTGGGGCTGGAGGAAGAAATAAACACGGGTCGTGGAGAGAATGTACCCCTTTCTCTCCCCAACTGAATGATGATGCACTTGGCCCTGAGAAAGAAAAGAAGAGACCATGAGTACCAGGGAGGTTCAGAGAAACCGCGGGTGGTTGGCTGTGTGCCAATTGTTTAGTCACATTGTGACTGTCTAACATTTGAATTTACTTGCGTTAGGGCGGTGTTGCAATGGTTAATGGTTATTCGGATGATTGAATAAAGATGATAATGAAAACAAAGCTCACAAAAAATCTTGAAATATACTAAAGAATCGATTGGAGAATGTAATGGGACCTAGGATCGAACTGGGGAAATTGTGATATTCGGAATGATTTTCTCGAATTCAGGATGAATTCAGGTTTGAAATGATCGAAAGAACAAAATAAAAAATCAACCAGAAAGCATGAACAAGTCTATCCAAAAAATGTCAAAAAACGGTTGTTCAGGGGACAGCTGTAGCTTTTTGAAATTTGAATTTCTTCCGTTTCAGGGGAGCGCGCTTGCATTTTTTTTCAAAAAAAAAATTCTTCTCCCTAAACTCAACTAAAAACCTTTTTTGCTCGAAAATTCTCGAACTTTTGCAGGTATTACTTGTCCCACTTTGAAAAATTTTTTCATTCAACCTAGTTTACAGAATGAATCATCAATATTCGCCTATCGAGCTTCCCCAAAAGAAGAAATGGACCGAAGAAGAGAGAGCCGCTCTCGCCCAAAAGCTTGACGATGATCTCGATCGGTTCATGGAAGAAATGGCAGCCAAAAAAGTGGGAATCATCATTCTTTGGATAAAAAACATATTTTTCCAGGCAGAGAAACAAGAACCGCGGAAACCATTCGATTTCGATGAGTGGTGTAAAGAAATTGATCAACATCCAGCTTTTATGAAAGAACTGCCCAAAGATGGAAAGTATCAAGATACTATTGAAGCTCTTCAGGTAATTCTACCTCAGTATTTATTCAGAAATTAGTTATGAATCCAGGCTATGAAATACGACAAAGAAGACGATGAAGATAAGCAACAGAATGCTGAACATCATAAAAACGAAGGAAATAAGCACTTCAAATTTAAAAAGTATCGTTGGGCAACAGACTGTTACTCTAATGGTTTGTTATTTCTATCATTGGGAAGAAGATATTAACCATTGTTTTTAAAACAGGCATCAAAGAAAACTGCCCTGATCGTAAACTAAACGCCTTGCTTTATTTCAACCGTGCTGCTGCTCAGAAACATATCGGGAACCTCAGATCAGCCATCAAAGACTGTTCGATGGGACGAAAGTTTGATCCCACGCATTTAAAAGGTGTTATTCGGGGAGCCGAGTGTCTTCTCGAGTTAGAATACGCCAAGGATGCGATGAACTGGATTGAAAGCAGTAAACGAATTTTCGCTTTCACAAAAGAGACTTCTGAAACTCGTAAGTAGTTTTATGAGCTTTAATGAATACAGCCAGAGCATTTTCAGCTGACCTAACAGACGATGAGAAGAAGTATATTGATGAATTGGAGAAGGTACGAGTCAAAGCTGTGGAACTGTCACTGAAGGAAGAACGGGATAAGCGGAAATCCAGAGCCGAGGAAAGAAAGGAAACCGAAGCAAAGAAGAAACTTCTAGATGCATTGAAAGAGAGAAATCTCAATTTGAGTCCGAGAGTTCCTTTCGATCACCCCGCACTGATGGATATGGCACGTCTTACTGTTTCACTTCCATTGATGCACACGGTATTGAAAATGTCATAAGATCTTCTATTATTTCTCCATTTTTTAGCATGAGTGTGTCAAATTCGACGATGATTCCAATCTTGTATGGCCGATTCTACTGCAATATCCAGAAGCTGGTCAGACAGATGTGCTCACTGAAACCAATGAAACAACTGCACTTGGAGAGCTTTTGCAAGAAGTACTACGCGAACCAGCTCAGTGGGATCCCGAACACAAATTCAAATTTGACAACGTCCGATTTTTCATCTCCGATCAGTACGATGAATATTTGATGGAAGTTTATGAGTGGAACGACTTCAAGACGATTCTTAGTATGCCAGGCAATCTAATCAAACAAGGCCTGCCTGTGATAATGGTCAGTTTTATTTTGAAGAAGTATCCCTATTTCGAATATTTGTAGATTATGACCAAGGAACAAGCTGATAAATCACTGGAAGCTCTGGAAGAAGGGCAAAATAAATTTGTTGCCAAATAAGTTCGTCGCCCTGTGAAGTTTTCGATCCCTTGTCATTTTTTTCCGTTGTTTCTTGTTGTTGTTGATTAAATATATTACTATTGCTCGATAAAGTTATTCATGATATCGGAAGCTATTTTAAATTTTTCTTGGTTCTTCCCAACTATTATCGTGATGATTTTTCTTTTGTTTTGGTTAATATTGAAGTAAAGTTATAAAACTTTTTTAGCCGGTTGAATATGAAACGAAAGACGAAAAATGGTGAGAACACCACCACGACCAAGTCTCCAAAACCAAAGAAACAAAGACGAAGTGTTGTCTTAGAACCGATTCATATTAATCCCACATATCTTGAAGAGCATTTTGAGGCAGAGTTTAAAAAAGGATTTGATAGTAAACTTTTTTCGAACTATCTTTGTTATTTTATAATTTTCAGAATCAAATACTCCATTTCCTCACTGGCAAATTCGAAACTTTGTGGAAAACAGTGACAATCTCGTTGAAAAAGTGGAGGAAGAACTTCAAAATTTTGAAGATTGGCAGAGAAAAGAGAACGATCTCTATTCACTCTACCAATCGAACGATCTCAAATCAATCAATCCCAAAAAGCATCCATTGATCTTCTCATTCAGGTTTGCTAGTTCAAATTATAAAATTTATAGAAATTTTCTGATTTAGACAGTTCCTTTACACTGAAGTGAGAGATTGGCTTCATAAGGTCTCCGGTGTTGAACTTATAGATCAAGTCGATTGTAATGGTAGCTGTTACGCTAGAACAGATTCCTTGTTGCCACATAATGATCTGGTGAGCTCTTCTTTAGACTAAAAGTCATTTTTCTTTGTTTTTAGATTGATACCCGCCGTTTCGCTTTTGTTTATTACATGACTTCAGCTAACTGGGATTCTAAAACGAACGGAGGAGATTTACAGCTTTTCAACCACGACAGTAAGATTTTAGCTCTAAAACGGATTCATGAAGTACAATTACAATTTCAGAAAAACTCCAGCCAACAACTGTCGCCAAACAATACGCTCCTCTTCGTAACTCTCTGATTCTTTTCGAAGTTTCTGAAAAGTCATGGCATCGTGTTGCTGAAATGATTTCTGATGAGCCCCGTCTCTCCATCAATGGCTGGTTCCATTCGTCGCGACGCATTGAACCGAGAAAGCCACCTGTAGAAAGTATTGAGAGATTTGTTCCGGGAAACAAGTGCAAGCTCATGAAATTGATTAACAAGGAATTTATGACTGAAAAAAGACAAAATGAAGTGCAGCAAACATTCGCAGATAACTCGGAACTTAATTTGAGTGGATTCTTGGTGGTAGGTGTATTTTTTAAATCGACATGTTGCCAAAACTTTGTTGGCTTCAGGAAAATATTCACAAGAAAGTGTATGCTGAACTCATCTCGAATCCATCATTCTTCACTTCTTTTGGACCAGTCAACAAGCGAAACGTTGCAAGACTCGATGAGGAGAAGTCTGAGGGATTGGAATCAACTCAACGTGTTTTAGAATGCTTGAAATCGGTTAATTTCGCAAAGCTCGCGGCAAAACTGACAGGTGTAACTGTTGTCGGAGCACAGACAAGTGTGACTGTCAGCCGTGTTGAACATGGAACGTATTGGGTACTCGGAGATGAAGATGCTGATCAAAGTAACGCAGATGGATACTGTTTGGACGTCCATTTGTTCGTTCAAGAAAAGGAATGGGACGACGAGGCTGGAGGAAATTTGATTTACATTTCGGAAGGAGAAACAGAAGAGGTATCATGAATTTATATGAAAAATCGACTCCATTGGAGATCTTATTCTTTTTTTTTCAGCTTCTTCGCATTTCCCCATCACCCAACGCTGCTTCTATCGTATTCATTGAACCTGGGGTTCTATCTTTCATGAAATATGCCAACTGCAAATCAGCTGATCCGTTTTTCCTCTTCACTGTGTCGTTCTACAACGTTCAAGTCGTTGAAGACTAATATCAATTCTCTATTTTTGTTTGATTGTTTTCCTGTTATTTTTGTCACCTCGGTTGAGCTCATGTTGTTTCATTTTTTCTATCAATAACACTTTTATTTCAAAGCTTCACTCGAATAATCAAATGGAAAAGTCAAATAGGTTTTTAAGTCAGAAAAAAACTGACTTCTAAATGTGACAGATGAAAAAGCTTTCCAAAAAAGTAGATATCTATCAATTTCAGGATTTCAGATGACCATTTGTCCAGAAACTAATTTCAGACTTTCTTTTCCAAGCGCCGCTGCACCCAAAAAAGTGGGCGGAGTCAAGCCACACACAAAAGATAGCAGACGGCGGAACCCGGGAGGTGTCGGCCGCTCAAGAAATACTAGTGCCGCCGACTGACTGCCGCGACACCCGTGATGAAGAAATTAGATCCAACTCCCAGTCTAGTTAGATACGTCTTTCTGGAACATGCAGATAAAGGCGAACGAGCGGGTCCCACAGAAATTCTATAATTTTTTTAGCCTTGAAGGATAAGAAGAACTTTAGAAACTGATTTTATTTTGACTTTAAATAAATAGAAACCTAACAATAAAGCATACACTTTCAAATTATTCTCGAGAGTTCGGCGAAGAAGTTGATGTTGTTCTTATGTGCATTAAGGAGCAAATACATGTTTTGCGACACCATAAAAACTGAGTGGCTTGATTGGTTTCACAGAATCCCGCAGATTTCCATGCCCCACATTTCAGGGGGAACTCGTCAACAGCGGTGGAGCAATCGATTCCATTCTCCTGTGGTTCCGTATTTTTCCGAATCTTCTTTAGATCTTCGTCATCTGGAAATTCGAATGTTAAGAAGTTCGATTTTTTGCGATAGAATTCACCACACAGGTGATTCGCTAACAATCCGTTACGGACGCTCAGCGTTCGCGCGCGGTTGAAATAGGAACCGTATACGGACCGCACGCGACCCGTTTTCAGAAAACCACAGCACATTATTTCGTATTTCTCCATATTCTATCCGTTTGCGAACTCCGTATCCGATCCG